TACCAGTCGGATGCAGACCATGTGTCAGGTCTTTTCCAGGATATTCGAAGCACGGGCTCCCCGATCCTTCTAGTTTTTATTGCTCATTGTACACCTATTCTGAGCTCACATGCACCCATAGATCAGGCTAGTTACGACACAGAACGCCTCAGCAGATACAATACGCTTATGGCTCGAACGCTCAGGTGACACGGTGCCCCTTGACATCGAAATATTCAGACAAGTGATCAATCCGGTCTCGGATACGGAATCCTCTTCTAGACGCCATCGGAGATCACTTTCACGTACGCCGAGTCCACCACCATGGTCTTTATCGTTTTCCCACAACCAGAGCCTGGCCACTCATTATGTTAATGTCATACCTCACACACCACTCACGCAGGCGGGGGTAACGATTCTTCCTCCCGCACAAACACCGATTCTTTTGCATCCCCATGAGACCTGGATCCCAGCTCCTCATCTTAGTGACCGCCCGACAGTAAATCCATCACGAGCAAGTCTACACTGGGGCCACATTGCAATATACTACCTTACCGAGCAGATGCATCGCTGGGAAAGATTTATTTTTCGATTTGATAAACAGTTCTCATCGATGGGAGCACTCAAGTCGATCAGCGGTATGCAATAGATTCATTTCACATCATTCACAACACGCTGACTATTCGTCAGGTGACGCCCCTCTTCTTAGGGAGTTTGAAGTATCCAGCGCCGAGGCTGCATTTTACCCAGAGTGGCAATGGCTCCCTAACGCCCCTTCCAACACAACGGTTGTACTTCCCAAACTCCAGAATGTAACCTTACAATACACCCCATTCAAATGGTCTTCGCCAATGTTCCGCACGAATCTCCATACTCTTAATCTCCGCGCACTTCCCACTTCCCACCTCCCCCTCGACCGCATCCTGTACATTGTCGCCAATAACCTTGAACTCGAAAATCTTACACTCCATTTTCAGGGTGTACTCCCAGCTGTGCTCCCGCTATCGCCTATAAAGCTTCCCAGGCTCAAGAAGTTCCACATCGGCGGGCACACTCTCCTCAGCCAGCTCATTGACGAGTTATCTCTCCCCGCCCTGACACACCTCTCGCTCGATTTCGAGCTGCGTAATCCGATCGAGGACACTATCTTGAATCTTCTATCAATAAGCGGTGCGCCCCATCTAACACACCTCTCAATCGCATACGGCACCGCATCGAACTCAGCATCGTTCTACTATGGAACTGGTGGGGTTACGATTACATGGACCGGACTTTTCCCGGAAATGCCGCACCTGGTGAGCCTCCGTGCTGGTGGCACACCGCTAGAACCGCTACTGGCGGCGCTCGCTCCGCCGGACGAGGAGTCGGACCAAGCAACCGGCTGGTTTTGTCCGAAGTTGCAGGAGCTGGGCATGCGCAACTGCCATGCGCACAGTGAGGGCGTTGTGAAGCTTGTACAACTCGTCGAGGCGCGCAACCCCGAAATCGGGTATGGGACAACACCGCAGGTTAATGGCGTGACGGCGACGAGACTTACGAAGCTAGAGATGTATGACTGCGCAATTTTGGGAGAGGATGTGGTACAGTGGTTGGAGAACAGGATCGCGGAGGTCATATGCACTGAGCCGGATTTTGATCGGTGAGTGGCAGTGGTAGCCTGGTAGGTCGATCCACGATTTAAGCACTGTTATAAAATTCACCCGGGACACTGTACCATTATATGTTTCTACAGCAAAAAAAGCAATACCTAATGTTGTAATATGTATCCTTATAACATCAACCCGACTATGATTCGACAATGTTCTGGCCAGTTCCAGATAATTTTTCTAAAATTAAGATAGAGGGGTGTTCAATTCTTACTTAAATTTCAGCTCGTAGCGAGCTCATTCCATGAAGCCCCGCGTCAATTTCACGATAAAATGGGTGTACTCAATTCTCGGCTTGCTTTGAGAATTGCCGTTTCCCAAAGCTAATTGAAGCCACCCTCAGCTATCAAGAGCTCTCTAAAACGCGCATGCGATTTTCTTGCCGATCACTGGAATCTTAAAAATGACAGCAGCTACACCCAGTGACATCGGATCCAAGGGAAGAACTCGCATGTTTTGAGTGTCATATGTAACTGGTCGGACAGGGTCGAAATGATAGTGAGCGAGCGGCCGTGTTCTGATCGGCGTCTATTTCAATTATTCTTCCGTACTCAGCGTCGCTGAGCGCCACAGGGTCCTTCTACAACGACCTCTAACTTTTCATTTGTATCCGAGTCTATGTGAATAGTCTCGCACAATCCATTTAAAATCCGACAATGATGTAGCAACGAGATAATGCATGACAGCTAGGCGATCAGGTACTTCAACAGAAGACTCCTCATGCGGCTGCAACGTTAACATTAACGCGAACGGCTCACGTCTGCCGGTCCGCTTACGTACAGTCTTGAAGGCACACAGCCTGTGGGCCCATTGATATGCTGGATGTATACTCCATATAGCCGCACCAACTCCGAGATCTGATTGTTTTATCACAGTGGTGATGAGGGGGGTTACTTCCCGGGTATCGTGGTTGGCTTGTTTGTCTTGGATCTTTCCTTTCGACTCTCTTGACCGGTGTCATTTTCTCTTCCTAGACCCTGAAGTTGGCGCTGTCCAGTTTTAGCATCGCACTTTCACGACGTGCTCATATCGCTCGCCTGCCAATGCACAAGACTCGGACGTGTCAATACTAACGGCACCTTGACGTATATAACTCCAAATTCTGGCACATCCACAAGATATTTTGATAAACTGTCGACGACTGTATCTTGGTATAGCTGTGTGGTAGGGGATGAGCTTCGCTCCACTGAGTGTAGAGGACGTCCTGGGTCTGTGCGTATACTTCCTTGTGGCGTTTCGTCGGCGCATCCGGCTGCTGATATCTTTTTTTCTTTACAGAAATGTGAACTATTACTTCAACATTATTGCATATAGTGCGTGACAATTTCCTTACATCAATCAAAGCTATACCATTTTAATCTCCTGTACTTTGTGTCAATGACTCGTGTATCATACATCCCTATACGCGTTTTCCCGAAAAATTGAGTGATCTTTTCAATGACAGGATCACTCAACTTATGATCGGCGTGTTCCCGTCGTGCCCTAACAGTTTCATGACATCAGGATTTTCTCGTTGGTTACGCTACTAGTACTGATGCATCTTGCCATCTATAGCCCTCCTGGTGTATGACTACGCCCTCACCTTTAACGACGAGGTGGAGCGCTTCTGGAAACCTAGCTCTCGTCCAACATGGGCTGTGACGTTCTTCTTCTTCAACCGATATTTCACACTCTTTGGACATATTGCTATCATTTTTCAATACTTCTGGGTCTCAGTCTCTCCAGAAAAACCGCTAGTGAGCCCGGCGAATTTCTAGACGATTAACTGAATTATTGATAGCGCTTTAGATGTGGGTATTTTAGCGTGGGTGCGCGATAGAGAGAAATTTGACACTCCTCGCTCGATTAGATGCCGCCGTCTACAATCATTCCACCAATATTTCGCCGTAACAGTGCAGATATGGGTTGCTAGTGCGTGTGAAGGATTTTTGATCAACATTTTGCAGACCTTCTGAATGAATGATAGCTTTGCTCATCATGCGCATGTACGCATTATACGACCGCAGCCGCCGGATACTTGCACTCTACCTTGGGGTCGCAATAACTGCTGTCGGTATAGCATGTGTAAATCTGTAAACTCACGTCAGGACAGATTCCAGCTTCTAACTCTTTGACATAGTGGGCAATATTGACGGGCAAATCGGACGAGGACAAATTAGAATATTCCATTCCTATGGGATGTCCTACTGGACTATCCGCTCAATTGTGCGTACTACAAGGTCACTATTTCAAATTATTTCTTACCTTATCCATGTTATTTTAGTGCCCAGAGTGCGTTGTTTTACCCATACACTACTCACGGTAAGATATTGAATATTTCTCTTTCAGGACTGGGAGCCGCATGGGGCGGCATGCTAGTGTTTGATACACTTGTCTTTGCTTTGACAGTATACAAGTCGTACACCTTGCGGCATATCCATGGGGTTGGTCTGGTGGCGCTTTTATTACGAGATGGCAAGTGCTTTATTGGACATAATTGATATATGTCCTGACTATATCATCGGGGATAGGGTCTGTTTATTTCTTGTAAGATTTTCTCGCTTATATGAAGTGCACCATCCTAATTGTGCTTTGGGACGGGTAGTGTCATGATGGCTACAAACCTTATCAATATTTTCACTTTCCTAGTAGGTTCATCTTTATTCACCGTTGCTCCCTGTTTAGCTCACTGCCTTGGGGTATCTAGTACGGTACTGTGAGTATGACCTGGGAAGCACTTTGAAAAACTAATTGAATTCCTGCGGAAGATATTCACGAGGGGCGTTGCCACGACCTTTATGAATATGTAAGTGAATGTACATCCCTCTCACAGGACAAAGTGCTGAGATGTTTACATACCAGTATTTCATCCATCATGATTTCGCGGCTAATGCTCAACCTACGTAACCCACGACTTCTCAAAAGCTCCGTACCGCCTACCACAGCTACGATAAGAAACCGCGATATAGTTTCCACATCCACATTTGTGGATCCTCGCATAGAGACAGAGTTTACTGATGCCGGGTTTTGGTCCCAGCCTAATTACTTCTCGAGACATTCTATGGAAGATCTTTATACCGAATCCATGCAACGCAGGCACCATGGCGAGTGGCATGAATATCAATAAAATACCATACTTATCAAGGAATTCATGCAGTTGACGATGGTGCGATTGAGCTTACGGGAAGATCAAGATCGGATCCATGAAACGAAAAGCACTCTGGACCTCTTTTTCTCCTATGGTTATTTTGGACGAAGTTGTAATGTTGTATGTAATATGATGAAGTTGTAATATTATTCTAACATGTACAAAAATTGATACTTCATTGTACTAAATTAGTACTGTGCTTGTGGGACTGCTTGGGGCGAAAAAAAAAACCTGTGTAGAAAAAGGAGTGACGAGAGTGGGATTCGAACCCACGCCCCGGAGGACCAGATATCTTAAGCAGAGACTGCTTTGGTCCTTAGTCTGGCGCCTTAGACCGCTCGGCCATCTCGCCAGGTGACATTCACTTCACTCATCGCACCATGACGAGGGGATGGCCCTTGGAAGCTTGCAGTTTCGTACTTTTTGCGTTTGCAAAGTCAAATTTTTGAGTTAATTGAAAAATTCGCCACCTGGCATCCTTTACGAAAAAAGCTGTAAAAATCGCAAATTTATGTGAACCCATTGAGGCACACACCCAAAACCCACTGACACTGGACAATGATCATGCGACCTGTCACACTCATTGAGATGTGTGACAAAGCGCGAAATTCCCGTTTAACAACCTAGATGCTACATCATCCTCACCAAATGCAAAGCACCAGCCTCCATTTTCCATCCACACCTGTCTCTCAACGGAAGCTTGGCTTTAGTGACAACCCTTACCGGCCAGCGAATTCGTCCCCCTTAGCTTCGCCTAGCACACCCAAAATCTCACCTGTGGCAGCGCGTCGGCGTAACCAATTCAAGACAAGGACACCCAGCACCCCCATATCATCCTCATCTAGAACCTACTTCAATGCCCGCGCAGTTGGTTCTAGTGGTGGTCCCGTGTTCGGGAGCGGAGGCAGCGTAGCTACTCCCACCGCGGAAGACCCACAGAAGACCTTCCTGAGACAAAAATTCAAGGCGAAGTGCCTCGAGCGGGCGACCAAGGCGCGGGAGAAAGCTATAAAAGGCCGTAGATATCATAACGAAACTAGCAGTGACGGGTTTGACGAATCCATGGACGACGATGACGAAGAGGATGATGATTCCATCATGCAAGATGAGGTGCTTAATACGTCTTTGGAATTTGGGGTCTTGATTCTAATTTTGCGTACAAGCTGTTTCGTAGGATTATGTCGAACGTGAATCGACGAGATAAGCACTCCTTCCGGACTTCGTATGCACATGATGTTGGCTCCTCCTTTGACCCAGACATGGAGGATGTGGGTGAATGGGAACATGAGCTCTCAAGCAGTGAGCATTCTTCGTTGGGATCGCTACCTCTGCTAACCACTTACACAAGCTTCAACTCGGCCACAACACCCTCCTGGTTTGCTCACACCTGTAGACCTTGACGACGAGGAGCTTGAGGCTTATGCGGAAGAATGTTCCAGGCGAGCGGTTTTAGCTGATTTTGAAGACATCCCTCAGGAGGAACTTTTCAGTCTGAGTGATTTGGAAGAATTAGGGATGACCGGCGACGAGGACGTGGACATGATGCAATCATAGACTGGGAGGCTGTGCGATATACGAAGACAGGACCTAAACACTTGTAAAAACATGTCTCATGGGACCACTATCTATACTTATAAAGTATCTTAAACCTGCTTTACTCCATTTTGTGAGGTTCCTTATTCGCGCTCGCGTTGCTTGGTTCTGCTTGACAATCGCGTGACTGGTCATCCCGATTCCCCCACGCATTGAACGATCCCAAAAGCAACAAAAATCAAGGCTCTTCCATGCCCCATTTATAACTAGGACAGAATTCCTTTGTCCCGGCGAGTTATTGCAGTTTTCAATAAAGTTGGCCAGACCATTTTCGGCAAAAACCGAAATTTTGTGCGCGCAGCGAATACCAATCTTCCAAGCTAATTAGCTTGCTCAATTCTTATCCCATTACATATATAAAATTTGTAGTCATATGAGATTGGAAAGTACTATCTTTTTATGGTGCAAAATTTGAAAAATGACCACTACAAAAAATTAGATTTACAGCCTGGCTGGTATGGTATTTACTGGAGGGAAAAAACAAAACCAAGGGGACCTCCATTGTCATCTTCTCATGTAGTGGAGGTATCGGGGAACCCAAAAAGATCAAAATTCAGATGATACTGGAACTGCTCGGGTCCAGGCTAGATCAGTGCACATAATCACATATTTTTGGCAGAAAATTTTCAGATATTCCTCCATACAGGGATATTACTTGTCAACCTGACATGAATACACATTTTATCTAGGTAATTGGAACAGAATTGAGTAAGCTAATTAGCTTGGAAGATTGGTATTCACTGCGTGCACAAAATTTTTGGTTTTTGCCGAAAATGATTGTCTGGCCAACTTTATTGAAAACTGCAATAATAAGGCCCTATTCGGGAACCTCGCTAGGTCACGGTTAGGCTAGGTTAGACGAAATTTGACCAAGTCAGGTGTTCGGAAAATCATTTGGCAGGTTAGGCCTCCTCTAGTCACAGACCATCACAGCAACCGTTAATGGTCAATCTGATTAAGAGTACTACACTGACTGTATCATCCTTGACTTGGTGGTTTAAATAGGCATCTTAAAAGCTCATAATATTTCTTTGTTCGAATAATATACTCTTCTGTTGGTGTCAATGAGGTTCCAAGTCTTGGAGTAACAGTGATCGGATAAGATTGATCCACGTTTTCGATTAGATTACAGTGAGCTTGACAGCACGGTCTCAGCCAAAACCAAGTTTTGCTATCCTATCCTATCCTAATCGTAACCTAGCGAGGTCCCCGAACAGGGCCTAAGAATTTATTTTTGAGTCAATACTCTACAATAGCCGAATTCCTGTCCTTTCACATTCTCAGGTGGAGAAGTCAACGCGCTTGACGGTATTCCAGAAAGACTTTCCCTGGATCTCGGCAACCTCAAGTTCTAAAGGAGTGGGTTGGCGGGATCCATCACTGGCCGAGAAGGTTCCAGCGCCCCATGGGGTACCTAGAGATATGCGCGATAAGATCAAGTGGCCAGGATATCAGAAATCATGGTCCGTACCGCCGCGGACCTCAGACACGCTAGAGAGCTGTTTGAAGCATCTAGCGTAACCCAGAGGGACATAAATGATGCCGTGATGAGTGAGAACAGAAAGGCTACTGAGGACGGTGGTCTCCTGTCCTCCTCCGACGCCACCAGTGGAAACGAAGGCAGATGCGTACTTCCCATAGAGAGCACCAGCTGACCAAAGCTGGCCAGTGGCGTCCCAGAAGGTCTACGGCAGTCTATGTCAACTAATACTATCATCAAAATCAATGTTGAAAAAACCTACCTTCCATTGGGCAGGCATAGTGCCATAACGGGTGGGGATGCCGAACAAGTACGCGTCATACTTGGCGAACTCTTCAAGGTCGATAACGGGATAATCAGGCTTGGGTGGAGCATACATCTTGGTCAAAACTTCCTGGGGAAGTGTCTCGGGGACCCTAGGAGATCATGAGCGAAGATCAGTGGCGGAACCATGAGTCCACTCACTGGAAGATCTTGGCGTGTCCACCAGCAGACTCGATACCAATCTTGATGGCCTCAGCCACTGCAGTTATTTATCAGTCAAGGCTTTACACGATGAAAACGCGACGACGTACGCTTGGCGATGTGGCCGTACATGCTGTAGATGACGATGCCGACTTTGGGAGGCATTTTAGTATAGCCTCGGGTTGGAGCGGTGACCAGTAGAGAGGCTGGTGCTGCAGGCGCAGGAGTAGATGCAGTGGTAGGAGCGGAGGTTTGAAAGGAAGTAGCCGCAGATTTTTCAGCTTTTGTAGTCGTTTTGTTTGGTGTCATCCACGAAGTTGTTTTTCTGACTTCTGCTGGGGAAACGCATGAGCCTCTTCTGTCAATGCAGTAGTGCGGTTTATTTTTTGTTATAACGGCTCACATAAATTTATTTCCACCCCTGCGTACGATCTCGCACGACGAAATTCGTCAGTTCGATAGATCTGTCATCCCCGATAAAATAACAATCATCAATTAGATGTGCCCTATAAGTTGAATTTCCGGTAAAATCGATAGTTTTGGCGCGTTTCTTGCCGACAGGGAGGTGACGAATTATGAAAGTGGGCGCAGATCAGCAGAAATTGCAATGCTACAGTCTGACAGTGACAGAGCCTCTTCAAATCATGCTTACAAAGCTTACAACAAAGTATAGATAATTCTGAGCTCAATGACATGAAGATGAGGTGTAAAACTTTCGGTTACATATATTTTCAATGGAGCGTTAGGTACGTGAGGCCTTGATGAATAAAAAACCATAGAGTGCAAATCAGTAAGTAGGCTTTGAAAGAAGTCTCCGTGCGCCCACATTGAACAATACAAGTTAAGCGACGCTCAAGTCATTTATACAGTGTAATACAGCTTCCCGCACGATCGCGAGAACCGGATTCCGAGTTTCATCCCAGTTAAATAATATTATCTGATTTTTGAAAATTTGATTATGTATATCTTCCAACCATCACATTCACTTCCTTTATCTGATCACTTCCTTTATATTATGTCGTATATATATCCTTATGCCGGCTTGGGTATGGCAATGTTTGCTCCTCTCCATATTGGGGGGGTCTCTATTGTCTATCCTAATCTAGCAGCCGGAGCGGCGCGATGGCTAGTCTTGTATTGGAATACGAGTATGAGCTGTTTCAACTTTCAAGCAGCTCAATTTGGCGACATTGCAAATGACATGCACGCGTTGTTTTGACGGCGATGGTCAGCGATGGTCCCTGAGGCCTGAGTCCTGAGCGCTGAGCGCTAAGCGCCGAGCTAGCGTCTCCTCCCGACCATGATCACCCAACGCAAAGTACGAAGTTTTCTATGTGTCGGAATAATTGTCGTCATCTTCAGCGCTCTCCTGACGTGGCGCAGAGGTATCTATCACCCAAAAACGCTGACCCACAACAGGCCGCCCCTGCCCATACGACATGACAAAGTCACTGTGACACCATCAGACACCAAGGTGCATCCAGATACACAGGCACCTTCGCACGCAACGAAAGAGACCACGAAGGACGCTACTGAGGCCAGAAAGTGGCTCACATCTATTCCCGAAGGTGCTCATGTTGAGGGATTTACCCTGATTGATAATCTTTACATGCGAAATGGGACCTTCTACATTGTGACTCCACACAAATCAAAGTTCCCGCCGATGGAGAACGTGTTGTCACAGCCACTGGAGTTGGGGACAGATGCAAATATGGAACCCACAGACAAAGTACGCCTACCAAGCTGTTTTATCACAAGTTTGCTTCCTCACGCCATCTTTTCAGGAAATACAATTCTTGGGTGCTGAAGACGTG